GATCCTTCCGCCTCAACCTTCCAAGTAGCTGGAACTACAGGCGCGCGCTACCATGCCTGGCTGATCTTTTTGATTTAGGCTGATCTTTTTGATGAGGTCTCGTCAATTTGCCCAGGTCGGTCTCAAACCCCGCGGGGCTCAGGCAATTCACTCACCTCGGCCTCCCAAAGTGCGGGATTACAAGCTGAGCCACCGAGCCCGGCAAGTTTTATTATTTAATGGCAGACTTTCCATAGTATTACCCCAATCTAGCAAAGCATTTATACTTTGACATTCATATTGTTCTTAGGACATATGCCTGTTATGCCTATAGAATTTGAATCCTGTGTTGATTATATGCCACTATTATTTTTAAATCTTCAAGTCTGTGAGATACAGTTTATTGACAGCAGATTTTTATTTTTATTTATTTTCAGATGTTCGTACACAAGCCATGTACCAGATGATGGATCAGGGCTTTGTAGGACTTATATTTTCCTGTTTCATAGAAGATAAAAACACAAAGGTATTTTGTATATGTGTGTGTATGTGTGTGTGTATATATGAACACACATACAGCATTGAGAAAAATCTCTTTGTAATTTTAGTAGGGTGGTCAGGGAAGGTTTCGGTGAAAGGGGACATTGAGTCAGGACCTGAAGAAGGTGGAGCAAGTCTTGTGAATTTCTTGGGGGAAGAGTGTTCCAGGCAGAGAAAATAGCCAGTGCAAAGACCCTAAGGTGAGTGTGGCATCTTTAGGGAACACTGAGGAAGTTGGTGTGACTGCAACAGAGTGAGGAAGACCATAACCATACATCCCAGTTTGCCTGTCAGTCCGTTTTACCCTATTATCTTTCCTTCTTGGAACTGTCCCAGTTTGGATGATAACTCATTTGGTCATTCTAAATGAGGCCCAAAAAGTAACTAGGGCCAGAGCTTGTAAGGCCTTGGCTTTGACTCTGAGTTGGAAAGTCACTGGAGGGTGACTTTATGTTTTCATGGGATCTCTCTGGCTACTAGAGTTGATAATAGACCAGTTAGGAAGATATTGCAGTAATGAAGAAAGTATGACCATGGTGATAACAGTGGAGATGATGACAAGTGGTTGGATGCTGTATATATTTTAATGGCTAATAATAGTAACAACTGCTACCACTTTTCACCTATCGTATGGCATGTACTTATTAGATGCTTTACATAAATATGCTCTAACCCTGACAATAAGTCTGCAAGGACTATTTTATGGATGAACAAACTGAAGCTCAGAGAGGTTAAGCAGCTTGATCAATGGCTAGTCTATTTGAATTCTGTTTGCATTTTATGCTTATGTAAAGAGGTTATCATTATGTCAGTTTAGACAAAAAGAAAATGACTATTGGACATTGTAGGTACGAATTCTGCAAGAATACTAGGAGTGTCCTATCATTTAGCACATTAGTTATATTCTCAGAATCTGTGTTAATAATGAATATTTTCCATAAAATCACTCTTTTCCAGAAACATTAAAATTTAGTACCTTGAACTTTATGCATCATTTGAAATGCTTTCAGCTTTGTCATTATAAATTTATTTATTATCATCATAAATAGTCATTGAATATGTTTGTCAGCTTTTAACATAGCAGTTTGAATGTTCAGGTTCTTAGTTTCTTGGTTCTCATGTTGTTGACAATCCTCTGCTATCACAAGAGCAGATGTTTGGTTGTGGCCATCTTATGTTGCCTGAGAACATGATCCTTTTTACAGAAATTGATTGATGACATAGTCCATCTTTGGAATCTCTTTAACTTTCTGCTTCTAGAGGTGCCCTTGGGTTTTAGGTCAGGGTCTACTAAATCACTATGCCTTTCTCAGTATTATCCTTCTTTGTGTAACATTTCTTTTTTTTTTTTTTTTTGGTAGACTGGCCGGGTACTCTATACTTGCTTCCAATCCATACAGGCCCAAAAGAGCTCAGAGTAAGTATGTGTTGTTTAGCTAATCTCTAATTCAGGGAATTTATTGTTATGTTTCATTTTATTTTTTTGTTAGTAATACATTAAGAACTCTGTGTTTCTACATATACTCATTACTCCCTCTATGAGGAGTTAGAATTTCTTTACCAGCTTGGATACAGGGATCTTGAAAAGCTAGGATCATATAAGCAGTCTCTTCACTGTAATTGCATCTTCACAGTCCTTCTCCACATTTCCTTTCTTACACCTAACTAAACTGGGTTGCACTGCTATTTTTCCTTTCTTTGGTGAATCACAAAACAAAGACCGAGGATGCAGACTATTACAGATTTGTATAGATTTTTGTCTTTGCTGTGCCATAAACTTCATTTCAGAATTAGAGTATCTCATTGAAGTGTTTTTATAGATCAGTTTCCTTATTAAAATTCAGTTCAATTTAAACTAGCACATCTTAATTGAGTACTTACTATATGCCAAGCACCATGGTACTGAGGATGAAGAGATGAATGCTAAGTTCATTGTCTCATTGGGAGATGGAAGCAAAGACTGTCTTAATTTTTTTCTTACATTTGCCAATTTGTAATTATAGCATTATCTGAAATAGCAAAGAATAGGGGAAAACTTAGATGTTTGTCAGTACTGAACTGATTAAATATATTATGATACATTCATATACTGGAATAATATGAAGCTTAAAAAACAACTATGAGGAAACTTGGTAGTAATATACAAATATCTCTAAGATATATTGTTAAATGAAAAAGGCAGGGTATAAGAACAATGTGTATAGTATGCTACCATTTGTGTAAAGATGTGGAAAAGAAATAGATAAATAAACACACCTGCATATTTGCTTGTAAATACACAGAAATATCTGGAAGAAAACACATCAGCCACCTCAGCAGAGAGGAAGTGGGTATGAAGGAGTAGGGGGTCGCTCATTATTTTTGACCTTGGCTTGTCAACAGGAAGCTTCACTTTAGGGTGAGTAGGTTGGGAGCCAGCCATTTCATCCAGGTATCACTAAATACTAGACTTGAAATATCATGCTCTGGGACACCAGTCTTAGCAATTGTTGTCCTATTTCCTCCCAGTCACTTCATTATTATTATTGTTATTATTAACTATTAGAAGAACTCTTGATGCTGCTGCTGTTACTGCTAATGATGGCGATATAATGATGATGATTTGGATTTAAGAATGAATTTGGTGTATAAACAAGTCCAACTATGGAAAACCATAAAATAGAGGAGTACCTAGAGTCCCAAGTTTCTGGCACGAGAACAAAGGGGTACAAGAAATCACATAAAGAGAGGAGCACGATAAAGCAACTTCATAAAGTTGTTTATAATTTCTGGGCTAAACCTTGAGCAATATATCCATAGATCTGATTCTAATGAACATAACTGAAAACAGAATGAACTGATAGGCCACTAGGTGGTAAGTACACAGGAAAGATCCAAAGGACACTCAAAGGTTCTCAAAACTGAGCTGAAACCACTGCCTACAATAGGCTGTGGGAGTTTTAACCTGAACCTAACAAGGTGAATTGTGTGCTAAAACAAATAACAACATTCATTCTCCATAGAATATAAGGGCCAATGGCTCAACATAATATGGAAAATACTAAAAGTACAATTTCCAGTTACTTAGTATGTGAAGAACTAAGAAAACATTAACTTGAGTGGAAAAGGACATTAACAGATGCCAACACTGGAATAACACCCATGTAGGAATCGTGTGAAAAATACTTTGAAGCAACTACAGGCTGAGTATCCCTTATCTGAAATACTTGGGACCAAAAGTGTTTCAGCTTTAGGAATTTTTCAGATTACAGAATATTTGCATTATATGTACGTGGTTGAACACTCCTAATCTGAAAATCTGAAATCTAAAATGTTCCAGTGAACATCTCCTCTGAGTGTCATGTTAGCCCTCAATTTTGGATAATGGAGCATTTTGGACTTTGGATGTTCAGATTAGAGATGCTCGACCTGTATTACAAAAATGTTTTAAAAAAACAATTGTAAACACTCTTGCAACCGATGTTTAAATAGAAAATCTCAACAAATAAGTGCAAGACATGAAGAACCAAGTGCAAATTTTAGAGTGGAAAAATACAATCACCAAAATACATAATTCACTGGATGAACTTGATAGCAGAATGGAGATGACAGAGGAAGAAATCAGTAAACTTTGATAATAGGTAACTAGAAATTATCTAGCTTGAACAAGAGAGAAAAAAACAGATTGACTAATAAAGTGAAGAGAGGTAGTAACATCAACAAAAATAGCATAGTAGAAAACTTCAAAGCCAGCTGGGTTCAGTGGCTCAGCCTGTAATCCCATCATGTTGGGAGGCCGAGGCAAATAGATAGCCTGAGCTGGCAGGTTCGAGACCAGCCTGGGCAACTTGGGGAGACCTCGTCTCTACAATAAATAAAAAATTAGGCCGGGCTCGGTGGCTCAGCCTGTAATCCCGCGCCTTTGGGAGGCTGAGGTGAGTGGATTGCCTGAGCCCGCGGGTTCGAGACCCGCCTGGGCAGCGAGACCTCATCTCTATAATAAAAAAAAAAAAAAAACAACAAAAAACTCAGCCGGACGTGGTAGCGCATGCCTGTAATTCCGGCTACTTGGAAGGCTGAGGCGGAAGGATCACCGGAGCTCAGCAGGTCGAGGCTGCGGTGGCCGGGAGCGGCCACTGCACTCCAGTCTGGGCGACAGAGTGAGACTTCAACTCAAAAAAAAAAAAAAAAAAAAATTAGCCAGGTGTCATAGCATGCACCTGTGGTTCAGGCTACTTGGAAGGCTGAAGTGGAAGGATTGCTGAAGCCCAGCAGGTCGAGGCTGCGATAGCTGGGAGCATGCCACTGCACTCCAGCCTGGGTGATGGAGTGAGATTCCAACTAAAAAAAGAAGCCTTCAAAGCCCAGTATTGCACAAAAATAGTAAATAATCTGGCAAGAACTATCAGAATCAACTGTGTAGAAACTAATCAAAGCTTTAGAGCAACGAGGAAAATGCTTAATCAAGGAAAAACAAACCAGAATCTTGGCATTTAAAGAAATCTCTGTTGAATCACCAGATAGCCACTAAATTAAGACAGAGACTTCAGTGGCCACACATAACAAAGAATACAGACTGTAACACTTAGTTCAGAAAACTCACTATACACAGAAACAAAATCAGATATAATAAGTAACAAGCTATTAGCTTCTTTTTTCTCTGTATAGGCCGTAATTTGTTGCTTTGGATGCTTCATAATTTTTTTTGTTAAAACTGAACATTTTGAACGTTATAATGTGACATGTCTTGAAATAAGATCCTACCCTCCTCCCAGGGTTTGTTGTTTCCAAGTAAACAACCTAATGCAGTACCTCCAGGAACCAGTAACACAAAACAAAACAGACTAAGTCCAAAATTAGTAGAAGGAGGAAAATAATAAAAATCACAGTAGAAATAAACAAAATCACGATTAGAAAAACAACATAAAAGATTAGTGAAACAAAGAGATGATTTTTTGAAAAGATAATCAAAATTAACAAACATATATACTGACTTTAAAAAAGAGGAGGCACAAAACCAGAGGGGAAAAGGAGACATTACAACTAATACTGCAGAAGTACAAATGATCATAAGAGACTGTTATAAACAATTGTACATCAACAAATTGGATAATAGGAAAAAAATGGGAAATTCCAGGACACATGCAACCTACCAAGATTGAGTTATGAAGAAATTAATAAATCTGAACAGACCAATAGCAAGTAAGGAGAAGGAATCAGACTTTTTATTAAAAGTCTGCCATAAAGAAAAGCCCAGGTCTTGATGGCCTCAGTTCTGAATTCTACCAAACATTTTCAGACCTAATATCAGTTCTTTTCAGACTCTTTGTAAACACTGAAGAGCAGGAAGTACTTCCAAACTTATTTTAAGAGGTCAGCATTATCCTGATACCAAAACCAAATAAGGACACAACAAAAGAAAGAAAACTACAGGCCAATATCCCTTATGAATAAAGGTGTAAAAATTCTCAACAGAATTAAGCCTAACAGCATATGAGAGAGATTATTCACCATAATCAAGTGGGATTGAACCCAGAGGTGCAAGGTTGGTTAAAAATACAAGAATCTATAAATGTGATACATAACATAATAAGAATGAAGGACAGATAAAAATTATAATCATTTTAATAGATGCAGGAAAAGCATTCAACAAAATTCAACATCTCTTCATGATAAAAACTATCCACTTCGGGAGGCCCAGGTGAGTGGATTGCCTGAGCCTGCGGGTTCGAGACCGACTGGGCAACTTGGCGAGACCTTGTCTCTACAATAAATCAAAAACTAGCCAGGCGTGGTAGTGTGCGCCTGTAGTTCCAGCTACTTGGAAGGCTGAGGCGGAAGGATCACCGGAGCCCAGCAGATCGAGGCTGCCATGGCCAGGAGTGTGCCACCGCACTCCAGCCTGGGCGACAGAGTGAGATTCCAACTAAAAAAAAAAACTCTCAACAATTAGGTATAGAAAGAATGTACCTTAACATAACAGCTGTATATAATAAACACACAGCTAACATACTGAACAGGACAAAGTTTAAAGCTTTCTAAGATCTGAAAAAAGACAAGGATGCCCACAGTCACCACTTCTACTCAACATAGTACTGGAAGTCCTAGTCAGAACAATTAGGCGAGAGAAAAAAAAATAAAAGGCATGCAAATAGAAAAGGAAGTTACAGTGGCTTTGTTTGCAGGTGACATGATCTTATAGATAGAAAACCCTAAAGACACCACCAAAAAACTGTCAAAATTCATAAACAAAACCATAAGTAGAAAGTTCCATGACATTGATCTAGGCAATGATTATTTTGGATATGCCCTTAAAAGCATAGGACAAAAACAAGCAGACGGGATTATATCAAACTAAAAATCTTCTACCCAGCAAAACAATCAATCAACAGTGAGAAGACAGCCTATAGAATGAGACAAAATATTTGCCAACTATAC